ACGTATAATATTTTTTTTAAGACCGACTTTTTAATGTAAACTAATTTTATTTATTTTATTTTATAGTTATAATTAAGTAATAATCAATTAATACTACATACAACTAAACAGAAACTAGATAATGCCTAAATTGGCCAAATACATTTTTGAATATTTATGTTAAATGTACAATTGTGAACGTTAAATATCTGAAGGGAAGATGTGTCTAAAATACTGGGAATTGTTATGTTTTTTGTAGCGGTACTAACAAAATTAGTTTGCTGCATATTGTTTGTGTAACATCCCGCATGGATTTTGTTTGCTATATCAATTTTGTTTTTCATTGAATTTTCAAGGTAACCTTCTGCTACGGTTGAGGATTTCCATCCTCCGTGCCGTTTTAAATGTATAAGATCACCCCCTCCATCTACTAGCAGAGTCGCTGAGCTTCGACGAAAGCAGTGACCTGTGAATTCGCTTGGATTTTCCAATTTAAGATAGGAGGCGATTTTTCTAGGGGCTTTTCCCACAGAATGCAAACCTACTGCTTGGGTTGAACACTTCCCATTTAAAAAAAAATAAATAGTCGTTTATGGTTGGTATGCGGTGGCCTCAATTGCAAATAATTCCAATAAAGTTGCAAATCTCTTTGGGAATTTACAATAAACGTTCTGGTGGTATTTGTTTTGGTTATGGGAATTTTAACTATCAACATTGTTTTCTTATCCTCGATATCATTAAGTGTCATATTAACGAGTTCTTAGCGGCGACATGCACCTGCGGAACTCATAATTAAAAGCACCTACAATAGAATTAAAATTTATTGTAATCAGTTTTTACTTCGTTTCTTTGATTTTAACTTACCTTAAGCATAAGGTATTCGATATCGGGAGCATTGTTTAGAAATGTTTCGATTTGTTCTCTTGACATAATCTTAGATTTCTTTGCTATATGACCAACCGATTTCTTTTTAATAAACGCTATTAATTTGAAAAAATTGTTGATATTTACATTATCTTTTACAGTCATCGTAGATTTCAGCATGGAATATAGTCTGCATAATGATGAAGGAGCCAGTTTTTGTGATTTTTCGGCAGAATATGCCAAAAGCACTTCTTTGTTTACATTTTTACTTTTTTTTTTCTCGGCACCAATTTTTAAATGAATCGTATGTCTTTTCATAGCGGGTTTTTGATTTTATTGGTAATAAATCGTAAATAGCTTTCTTCGCTGTTTCTAAAATATCTTGTGGAATTTCATTTTCAGCATCTGAATCCATATTATTTGGAAATTTGAAAACTCACAAATCAAGTTTGACATAAACAATAAATTAACAATCAACGAACTGTCACTTGATAATAAATCGCAAGGATTATCAAACAGCGATTGGAAAAATTGAAAAAGAGGGACCGGTAAAGACTATTTTTACCGGTCCCTAGAGTCTACTTTCTGGTCTAGACCGCCAAAACGTTACTTTCTGGATGAAAAATTGTCCAGAGAGTGTACATTTTCTGGTCGGTCTTAAAAAAAAACATTGACTGATACATTAGATGGTTTTCAAGCATTTTCGCGTGCTTTGTATGAGACTACAGATTTATCTGACAGCCCAGCTATTTTTATAAAAGTTGCAGTGATAGAGGTATTACTGGCTTTACGGGCGCTACAAGGGACCACTACATTGGATAAAATATTTTTGCCGAGGTGCAATAACTTTTGAGAAATATTGTTTGCAGTAGTGTAAATTAGTTGGAGTGTACACGGATGGTGCGCCTTCAATGGTCGGTTCACGAAAAGGTTGTATCGGAATTCTGAAGGAAAGAGCAAGCGCTATGAAATGCATTATTCAACAAAACTTATGCTCTAAGTCCAGTCGATTGAAGAATGTTATGGATGTGATAGTAAATACCATTAATTTCATTAGATTCCGCCGTCTTAACTATCGCCAGTTTAAAGCGTTTTTGGATTAACTTTCTTCAGAATGCGATGATGTGACATAGTATTGCGAAGCAAAGGAAAAATGCTAAAAAGATTATATGACCTTAGAAAAAAATAGCTGATTCTATGGATTATGGAATCAGGCAAGGGAAAAAAATTTTTGAAAATCAACTTGACACAGCTGCCAAAAAATCTGCGATTTAAAATTTACAAGGAATTCTTGAATAATTTTTGCTTTTTGTTTGTTTTTAATTCAATAGTTCGTAGGCAAAAGAGAAGCCCTTACTGACAAAGATTTAGAAGAAAAAATGGACTAGCGTAAACAAAGGAACATCAATTATAGTCTCCTAACCAATGGACCTTCATTATTTTGAGTGATGAAGTCAGATTTGAAAGTATGCAATGGTGATAGTAGGAGTCGTGTCATAAAAACAAAAGAAGAAGTGTTTCAGGAATGGCTGTCTTAGAAAGAAAGTTAAGTTTCCGGCTTCTGTTATAATTTGGGGAACCATGTCGGCTAAAGGAATGGGAAACTTATACTTTGTGGAAGGTATTATGATTGCTGATACGTACATTAATGTGCTTCAAAATAACTTAAAAGTCCAACTTGAACAAATGCGTTTAAATAATATCGAATGTATCTTCCAACAAGATGGTGCCGCTTGTCACACGGCTAAAAAAGTAAAAGATTGGTTGTTGGAAAACAATATTCCACTTTAAAAATGGACAACCAGTAGCCCAGATCTATCGTCTATTAAAACGTTTTGGCATATCATGAAAAAAAGCTCCAATCAAATCCCGCAAGAACCGTTCAAGAATTGCGAACCCGTCTTCAAAAAATTTGGAACAGTTTTACATCAGATGACTGCCAAACATTAGTTGACACTATGTTAAGGCATATCGAATCACTAATCAGTAATCAGTCGAAAAAGCGATGTAACGCAGTGGTAATTTGTAATTTGCTGTTATTTAGAGTCGTTATTTTTTTTAGTCGGCAGTTTTTTGAATTTATCTGATTTTTTCTGTTACAAAAAAATTGTATTTTAGGCTAAAATTGAATATATACATATACAGTGTGTCGCATTTAAGATGAAGACACCCCTATATATTGTCTATCTAAATAAATACAGATTTGACTTTTTGCACAGTCATACAGGGTGATGGTTCACATTTTTTAGGATACTCAACTGAAATTTAAATTTTAAACGCGGCCTACTGCGAATCCACAAACGGGGTCAATTTTCGATATTTTTCTTCGCGTTAGAGATATCAGAAAAAGTTATTTGAAAAAATTGTTCCAAATATTATTCTAATCCCATATACCAAATTTCATGACAAAGTTCGCATTTTTAGTTTTTTCATTATTTTGGTCAATACACAAAATTATTAAAAGTTGATTTTTTTAATTCGATAAACTAGTGTGCCATGAATAGGAATAATTTGACACTTGTGAAATCATTAATGTCAATCATATTAGACTTTTAGTTTATTACATTGAGTTCTATTTAGTGAAAATCGAATTAATATGCCGTTGACTTTAAACAAAAAAATCGAAATAATCCGATTCTTTGGTGATTTTGCTCGTAGTAGCAGAGAAGTTGCTGCAGAGTTTAACAGGAGACATCCGCAACGTGCTTCCATTATACATGGAAAAGCAGCCGCTATAAATGTTCTTTTTAGTGAAACTGGCAGTGTTATTAAAATCCATCAAAATGGCCAATCTCGGCGAATACACCCGCATCCTGAGGATAACGATATACTGGCGGCAAATCGAGCAAATCCACACATGAGCCTTCGAGATTTATCATCTCAGCTGAATATTACTAAGGATAAAATCAGAAGATGTTTCATCCGTCACAAAATCAAGCCCTATAAACCAAAGTTCTTACATACATCAAAAGAAGGCGATGAGAATAAAAGATTATTGGGCCCAATGTTATTTTTGAAATGATAGGCATTTTCTGGAGAAGATTATGTTTACAGATGAGGCTACATTCACCACCAATGGCGTTGTATCATCTCAAAATGCCGGAGAGGCTAGAAGTGAGCTTAGTGTGCATCCACTCACTCGCAACAGTTAAGCAGTGATCTCTTCGGTCACGTCGTGGATGGGTTTAACTAGCGTTTAACCATCGACGACGTGGAATGAATGAATGAGGGTGTGAATGGGAAAGTAGTAGGACCTTCAAATGGTGGTACAATAAGCCGTAGGCTGCAGTGCTGCCAGACTACAAACGGATTAGGGTGTAGCACGGGAGGTCTGAAGGGTGTAAAAACAAAAAAAAAAACTAATCATCTCAAAATTGTAGATACTGGGCCAGAAATAATCCCCACTGGGTTATATATTCCCAAAAAGTCAATGTCTGGTGTGCGACAGGATATGTATTTCCAGCTAGATGGTGCATCCATTCACAATTCAAGGATTGTTCGCTAATGGTTAAACCAAAAATTTCCTATGCGCTGGATAGGAAGAAACAGTCCTTTTGAACCCTGGCCTCCGAGGTCCCCTGATATTACACCACTCGACTTTTATTTTTGGGGACTGATAAAAAATAAAGTTTATAAAACAAGGCCCAGAAATCGAAATGAACTTTGTGCCAGAATAAGACAAGCCTGTCAAGAAATCAGCATCCCAGAACTTAAACGGGTATCCAGACATAATCGTAAAAGAATTGAAATTTGTATTCAAATAAATGGAGGACTAGTCGAGCGAGATAACATTTGATAAATTGTCATTTGTACTATGAAAATTATTGTTTTAATTATTTTCTTAAATTTTATCAGTTACCCACTAAAAATTATTGTTTTTTAAAATAAAATAATTATTCGTTTGTGTTAGTGTTATTTATTTTACTAAAGAATTTAAATTACATGAATTACACTAAACTGAAAGTCTAATCTGATTGACATTGATGATTTCACAAGTGTCAAATTATTCCTTTCCATGGCACACTAGTTTATCGAATAAAAAAATCAACTTTTAATAATTTTGTGTATTGACCAAAATAATGAAAAAAACTAAAAATGCGAATTTTGTCATGAAATTTGGTATGTGGGGTTAGAATAATATTCGGAACAACTTTTTCAAATAACTTTTTCTCATATCTCTAACGCGAAGAAAAATATCGAAAATTGACCCCGTTTGTGGATTCGCAGTAGGCCGCGTTTAAAATTTAAATTTCAGTTTAGTATCTTGACAAATGCGAACCATCACCCTGTATGACTGTGCAAAATGTCGAATCTGTATTTATATAGGGGTGTCTTCATCGTAAATGCGACACACTGTATATCATATATCAGAAATATTATAGTTTTTAATACGTTTGTCGTTAATATGGCAAATTTCTTTAAAAAACGTGGTTTTGATAGTTGGGTCAACTTCACTAAGACAAGTCTCGTATTTGGTACATTTTAACATATATTTGGAAAACTGATCATAGGATCCAATTTTGCCAATAAGAATTTCAAACGAGTACATCGAGAACTATACAATATAAAATATTGAGGTATTTTTACGGACGTATAGTGATTTTTGGCGCCCATTGTAAAGAATTAGGGATTTCTAACTTCAACACCCTGAATCTGAAAATCTAGTCGTAGGCACCGTACATAAACAAGACAAGAGAGGTCACTTGGCGTCGCGCGTCGGTACTTTGAAGTGTGGCCTACAGAAGCGAGCCGCCGTATTCGGAGTGCTGTTTCGCGTGCTGTTTCGTCTATTTACGGGGGCACTTTGTAAGGCGACGTCCGAGTTATTTCTCAAGCGACTGATACATGGGTTATTAGAAATGAATTTTAGTATCGATAGAATTTAATTATTTATTAAACCCCTAGTGGGACCTAAGCCGTTCTGCGGTATCAGCAGCAAAACAATATTAGGAGAGATTAAAAAAGAATTGGGCAGTAAAAGAACCGATAATTGGGACAATCTCATTTCTATGTATATTTTAATAACATTTACCTTTTTCTGTGTGAATAGAGACGTTGTTGTATTCTTTAACATCATCTTAAATATTAAAATAGGTGTAAAGAATCTACAATAATACAACCGTTTTTTTTTTAATGGAAAAATTTGACGTTTCAAATTTTTAAATGCTTCCAGCACTTATAAAATTGTATTATCAGGTAATCAGCATGCTAAATATTAGTTAAATAAGCATATAAAATTCATTTTTCTACACCCGTATTATAATAATGCACTTATATGCCCATAATCCGTTTCATAATGATACCCATTATGATACAGATTTTTCATTATGATACAGATTTTTAATCAATAGAAACCTACAATTTTTCAATCAAGCATGATGTTTGACGTTTGTCCTAAATTCCTATGTAATTGTTTTAGTTGTCAAAACGTATTAAATTTTCGTAGATAGCTAAACTTCGATAATTATAATATTAAAATGTCTGATATCAGCGATATAGAAGACTCCTCCACACATATCGGAGAAAGGAGAAAATGCAGTACAAAATAGTTTGCCCCAAAAATCTGTGGTAATACCAATACCCAAGGTAATACCATTAATTACAATTTTGTAGAATTTTTTATAGAAGTACGAGTAATTACTGTTATTGTGTTCAATGCCAATATAAATTGAATATTTATAGGTCTTGATTATTTATCGGGTGTAGAAAAAATAGCGTATGCAACTCTCATGTAATGGTTATTAAAACACTTGTATAAACCATACGAAACTCGCCTTTGGCTCGTTTCGTATCCCGGTTAATTCTCGTGTATTAATAACCATCATTACATGATCGTTGCATAATATACTATTAATTATCAGGTTTTGAATTATAGGAACACGAAACCAGATTAAAAGATTAACACGACATGCCAAATATTTCCATTAAAAAATAAAACAACCTTTAAGTAAGTACACCATTTTATAAAGCAGAAAATACACAAACATTCATTATTTATAATTAGGAACTTACTATTTTTTAACAAAGTCAATGAGGGAATATCATTATGTAGAGTAGAGTTTTCAAATTATGTTTTATATAATTCCATTCAGGAAAGTGCAAATCGCCAATTTTTATTCTACTTTAACGTTGTTCCGGGGTTAAATTGGCATATTTATGGGTACCTACCAACCATAACGCGCGTTTCCAATTTTCACACATAAATAAATCATTAAAATGTTATCAAATTAGAATCTGAGACTAGAAGTTAATAAACAAGGTAGTTAATGCAAACTCTCTTACCTATCTTTCTGTTTCGGGCATCGAAATAATGAACTTCCCATTTTTTATTTACTGTTGCAACCATCTACATATCACCGGCATTTTTAAAGATACAAACTTCGCACACAATACTTATTAATATAGCTGGTATATTTAAATCTCCCCGCAAGGAATAATACTATGGAAATAACATCACAAATCGACCACAATAATTATCAAACACAGCGTTATGTCCGATCGCCAGTTCTCACTCGATACTTACGACCATCACCTGTATAATCATTCGGTCACAGCGCGCACCCAAATCCCAGTATAATTAATAATACAGTAGCGACAGCTTGAGTCGGCTACTTTGTTGTCGGAGTGGTCAGATTTTTATTGACAGTTGACGTTTTTGTCGCTTATTTCTACACTGAAAAAAGTAACTTTTAAATATTTGCCTTTTTGAATAATATATCACACAATAAATGAAAGATGAAGACTAAGTCTAAATATAGTAAAAATGTATTAGAATGTGCATTACAACCAATCAGATAATTAAAACAATCAACTACCATTAATCCATTGACAATTCACATATGCCAGTTTGACGTATTTGCCGCTTATTTACGGACATACGCAGAAAAATATGGAACCCTCATAAACAATGAACTGTCGCTACTGTATTATTACTTATACTGGGCCCAAATACTGAAATTGGCCAAAATATATCAAGGAAGAGTGGCATCAGAGAGTGAGCAGAACAGGCAACATTGGGGGAGTGACGCTTCTTGTCTTGTTTTTGTTTAATGTCATAGGATAGTATTGGGCCCATGGATTCTCTTGATGGCCATATCAAGTAATTTTACACATCAAAAATTCTGAAAATAGTAGGATACTGTGGAAATAAAAAATAATAGGTATTTAAAAACTTGAAAATGTTGATATTATCAAGTTTAAATCATTGCACTTATTTTTAAGTGATTACAATTTACTTTGTTTCATAAACAAAACAATGCTAAAATGTGTATTGAAAATTTTTGAATTATACAAATTTAATGTTTGATTATGGATTTCTAGAAGGCTTTATAAAGTGCTGACAAATTAGGTAGATACATACACTGTATGAAAAAAAGATAAAATATTATTTTTCTCTACGCATTATTTTGATTATTGAATTAATAGATAAACCACTTATAACTTATAAAAACAAACAATGTTATATGATTGAATAGATACAAAATTTTGATATCATCATTATTAAAGAGGATTTGTCATTGTACAAAATATTTGAATTTATTTTGTTAAATATTCTGTTGTAAGGCACTTATGCTTATGAAACGTTGGTAGTGGCGATGGGTCTGCCAGACCCATGAGTACTAAATGCACGATTTTTGTATTCAAAAAATGTTCTTATTTTTTTGTCAGTTTAACTCTCTTTAAACAATGTTCTTCACTATTATAAGTACGAAATAAAATACTTCAATATAATGCATGCAATAATAAGTTTTTGTATTTAGGGGAAGGTAGTACTAAGAAATTAAAAGATTGTTTTTCTTACATGGTTAGGAAGATCGATCGGAATTTTTCAAGTTTGTCTTCATAATATAATAATTACTACATGTAATGTCGTGTTTCTACAATTTTACAGGGAGTTGTAAATGGACCTGATCACAGCTGAGAACCGTTACATATGAAAAAAAACCACGTTCAATACTGTTTATTTAATTATTTTACTTAAAACTATTTTCTATGAATGCTATCTATTTCCACTTCGTGTGA